TTATGTTTGTGGAGACATGTATAATTTGTTCTTTCTAATTGTTTAGAATGAAGTTGATATTATGAAGTGGAGAGTGACGAAACTTAGTTGACGAGGAACAAGCTTTCAATTAATCTTATTGTTTATAGATGTTTATCTTTAATTTTGAACAAATTGTATCGATCATTTTTGGTTTGCTTGTATGCTCTAGATTGGTATTTTTTGTATGAATAATTTCTATGAGAAAATTGATGTTAAATTTTTATTTTGAAAGAAACTTGTTATTGTAAATTTTTTACCACAAAAACCCACGGGTACCCATGAACCCGCGGATGCCCAGCGGGTTGGGTTGGGTTTGAGTTTTTCAAACCCAGCGAATTTTACCCCGGGATTTTTTTTTTGCGGATAAACCCATGAGTATGGGTTTGGATTTGACAAAACCCGCCCCAATCCGACCCATTACCATCCCTTCTCACCCCACCCATTTTATGCAAGGAAATGCCTAGCTTTTTCACAATAACTAATGAAATTGCTTTAATTAACAGGTCATTAAATGCATATTAGTTATAAAATATTAATCTAGAATCAGGTTTAGTTAGTTTTTTCCCCACTGACAAAGAAAGAAACTGAGAAAGGTGGGAGACTGGGAGGATATATATATGCTAGTGATCCAGGAGACAAAAGCAACTTACTGATAAACAAATGCTTTTTTTTTTTTTTTTTTTTGACAAGATAAACAAATGCTTTTTAGGAAGAAGAATTTCATGGTTTTGATTCACAGAATGAAAGCTACCCAGTTAAACCTAATTAATTAATGAATTAACGAGGAATTAAATTACTTAATTAAGTACCAGCCGGAAAGTAATTGGAAGAGGTCGCCGTCGTGCTCAGCTCAGCTCAGCAGCCAAAAATTAGTCAATATTGATTACTGGTAATAATAAAGTGGTGTAAAATTAGTCAAAAAGTATAAAGGGAAAACGATAAGCCTCTTGCTTAAGAACATATATAACTAACCCCTATGTAAATGTCGGTACATTTTGTGTCTTGTAGCAAAATCTTGAGCTTGGTTAGGCTAGCGACAAGCATATTGTGCTCAACTAGTTATTAACAGACAACACTGAACAACAACCAATAGCTATCAAATCACGTTTTGAGAGGATTTTGATCACCCATCTCTTATATCACGAAGGGACAGGAAAAATAATATTTTTTTATCGAAATATTACTCATATTACAGAGAAAACAACGAGATAAAAATTTATGTTGTAAATAATTAAAAATAAAGTTTGAATCCAATCAAAGAAGGGAACAACAAAGGAGCATTTCCTGCTATTAAATGGACAGCCTTGTTACTATTACATCCAACAACCTGAACATAAAAAATGGACAAACTCGCCACGAAGGAACATAATTACCTAGATCACCATGTGATAAACCTATAATTACAAGAAGATATATCGAGTGGGTAGGTGGAATAGAAACGGGAATAACTTTACGTGCCAAAAGAGCTAAACAAGAAAAGCAATAAAGGAATTGCACTACTCGTGTAGTGTCTCTCTTTGTAGTAGCTATTGATCGAAAGAGATCAAGCAAAGGTCCAAAGCTGAAGAGGAGCCAACTCACATAAAGATGTGAAGATCTTTCCAAAGGAGTTATGGCATGGCCGCCTTCTGGTTCTAAAATATAAAGTACCCCAAACCTAAAACGACACGCGACTTTATGTTATGGGACGTTGCCTACCTATCCTTCTCCCCTCCCCACTAATTGGTAACAACTTCTTTTGGAGTGGCTTCTATGTATCCAAGAACCTACCAAAACCTAGACCTACGCCTTTTTTTAGTGACCCATTCACCATTCAATTGAAACCACCCCTCTTCTTGATGTTCCATCACTCTCAAAGTCGGGTAACTTTTTTCTTGTGACATGTCAATTACTAATTTGTTCCAAGTTACTGTCCACGGTCCTCTCTAATTGTGTTCCATAATTTACTATAGGTATACACATTTATCGATATTCTCGACAGACAGACGCTAAAATCACAAAAATAACATATCAATAGTAAGGAAACTAAAACCACATATTCGCTCAAAGTAGGAGTTAAAAATTAAATTTAACTATAAATGCGTTAATTGTCAACAAAGATTAATAATACATTAATGTGTGACATGTTTTTTCACAATTTTCATAGTTGTAAAAAGATCGTCCGCCCAAAAAGAATATACTTATTATATAACGGAAATAATAGTTAAAATTTTGAAATGAAACAGGTAAAGAAATTAATGTAAGTCAAAGATTTTTAAGAAAACAAAATGTAAACTCAAGGATTGCAAAACCGCACCGGAGGTTGTATCGAAAAAGTTAGCAGTAGAATATTTCATCCTAAAATCATGGTTCAATCATTTCATATCGCTAAATACCGCCTATTAGTTTACCTACCTTCTTATAGAAGGTTTTTCTTGTAGAACCACCGGTAGGGTATTTTTTTATCATTTGTAAAAGTTACTAACTAAGTTGAACTTTTATGTCCAAGTAAAACTGGAAAACAAAAATATGGTGGAGATGAGTAAACCATAATTTCCGCCAGACTACTCACACACTATTAGTCTATTGTACATGCATTTTTTATTATAAAATAGTAGAAGATATATTTAATAAAACCACATAGTAAAAGTATATATTATACTTATAAAATCTTATTTAATAAGTAATTTTCAAAAATTATGAAGAGTTTAATATATATATAAACTGAAGTTAGGTTACTGTTGTTTAACAATTTATATTTTGATACCCCAAATTTAATTAAATCACAACTTAGACGTAAATTTTACATTTTGATATCCCAAATTTGATTTTAATATAAAATTATTGATCAATTATGTTTTGGTATCTTAATTTTATGAGATTTTCGTACCTACAATTTTTTAAATTTACATATTGGTTCAATGTTTAGATTTCACTTGAATTCATGAATCCAATCCACCAATCCTTTTGAACCACTCCATGAATCCAATCCACCATAACATAAAAAATAAATTTAGTTTGTACAATACAAGATGTTGTATCACTCAACTGTAGGAGAAGATTCGACTATTTTATATTCGCTCATTACGTGAAAAATTAAATAAATTATAAAAGAGATACGACTCTAAAATATTACAAGAGCAAATTTATAAACTCATTGAGTATATTTATGGGGTACTAAACAAACTTCTACTAATTATATGTAACAAAATATGCGACATCTACATAAGAAAGTGTCGATAAATTGTTACGGTGAAAAGGGTTGACTGTTGTATTGACGGCCAACTAAAAGAATTGTTCAAAATCTTTTCATCATCTACTTCCTTTTCGTTTCATTTTTCACTCGCCTTCCATAACCCTTTCTTTATTTCTTTCTTTGCCTTCTTCTAACCCTAATTAATATAGTATTTTTATGTATTCTATTCACAAGTATGAACGGGTCCATACATGACTCACCAACAGTCTAGAGAACTAATAATTGAACTATGAACCACTAACTTTTTTTTAGCTCAATGACGAGCTTAATTTAAAATAAATATATATGGTTATTACTTATTAAGACATTCGTCATTTTCCACCATGGAATTTGATATGTGTAGATATCTAACTAAACATTCCATGTATATTTGTTGAAAATTCTAGCTCAGGTGAAAAAGAAAAACTCTAGAGAGAAGCAAAATGAATCAAACTTCCAAACTCATATATATGTCACTCATACCCTATCCATAATCAATGTCTACCTGGGTTTAGGTTTTTTAAAAAAAAAAAACCTTGAGTTTAGGGAAATATCATTTACTAACAAAAATCATAACGGACCACATAATACATTGCCCATAGGCCATCTCCATCCCACGACAAAGTGGATCATCGCCACCTAGTTTAATGTAATTTTCAAAACTGAATTGCTATTTATAGCCCTAGCTTTTTCTTATTTATAGCCCTAAGAGAATATAATTACTATTTTACCCTTCCTTCCTTTTAAAATATTGAACTTGTTACAACTCCAACCAAACACTCCCTTCCCTCCCAATTCAACTCGCCGGATTCCTCCCAGATTCCTCCCAAATATTCTCGCCGGCGACGACGAGCTCTCGCCGGCGACGACGAGCTCTCGCCGGCGACGACGAGCTCTCGCCGGAGACGTGACTCGCCCCTTCTCTCCTGTCGCCGATTTCCTCTCAAATACGACGACCACCTCTCGCCGGAGACGAAATCAGAGCGCTTCGCGAAGGTAATTTTTAATTTTTGCACGAAGGAGGTGACGACCGGCCGTTTGACCCGCCGCCGGCAAGGGCGACGTCCTGCCCAGACGTCGCCGGCGACGTCTGGGCAGGACGTCGCCCTCGCCGGCGGCGAGTCAAATAATTTTTTTTTAATTTAGGTTAATTATTTATTATAATTATTATGATTTAATGTAGGTTAATTATATACTTTAAATTAATTTAAAAAATAATTTAATTATCTCCTTTAATTATGTAGGTTAATTATATGCTTTAATTATTATGATTTAATGTAGGCTAATTACTCTAATTATCTGTTTAAATTATGTATGTTAATTATGAAGCTCGTCCGAGAGTTTCGCACTGTGATTGAGCACCCTTATGATGACCACCTTGATCTTCTTCTTGGATTACAAGGGTTGCTTAAAGAGTACGACGAGGCGACTCCATACCAGCCTCCACCTCAGTACTAGTGTTGTTCATGTAGTTTGAGTACTATGTAGTTTATTTCTATTTGGAGAACTATGTCGCTAATTTGGTGTTTGAGAACTATGTCGTTAATTTGGTGTTTGAGAACTATGTCGTTTATTTCTAGTTTGAGAACTAAATCGTTTATTTGTTGTTGGAGGACTATGTCGTTTATTTGTAGTTTGAGAACTATGTTGCTTATTTGTTGTTTGAGTACTAGTGTCGTTCATTTGATACTTTATTTGTATGTTTAGAAATATGGTGGTTTTAATTTAAAACTATGTTTACCAAAGGCTACAAATATAAAGATAACATGAGTTACAAAATACTCCTTATTTACAACTATTGTCGTTATATACCAATACTACTACAAATATCTCCTACTAGTCATGATGACCCCCAAGTGCGAAGTAAAGATCTCGCTCGTCCTTGAACAACTCCTCCCACCCTTGAGTACTCATTTTGTCACGGAAATGGGTCCACAGGAAGGTGAATGGAGGCATTGGTATTGAATCCTCCTCAAAGTCAAGGCGCACCCAATGGTTGCCGGTGTTACACAACACCAACACATTGCTAGGGCGAGCTACCCCTGGCTTGGCTATCATAGGTAAAAAGGTTTGTCCAAATGGAACACGTCTCCTCACCCCATCTTTGGTTTCGTCTATTTGACTGTAGAGGATTATGGCCCAGTTAAATAATGTTGCAACTACAGCGAGATCCGACTCAGTCATCCAATGATCCATTGTAGTACCCTCTGGCTTGTTCCACTGTAATCGTGTAAGAGCAAGACCCACATCTTCATATGCGTACTCACATTGTTGGATCGACATGACTTCATCTATAATAGCCTTTCTCACCCACAAGTGGTGATCCTCATCTCCATGAAGTGCATGTGAAAGAGCTCGAAATCCGCAATGTCCATCAGGAGCAGGGTCCCACCAACCAAGACATCGATCTCTGACACTTTCTGGGACGAAGCGAAAGTAAGAAAAAACATTCACTCCATCAATCTTGGTCATGGGATCCCTTTTCGGGCCACCTGTGGATGTAGTTATTTTTAGTTATCTTATTGGCATATTAAACATACTTATTGAATATCAATGAATTTAACAAAACAACTCAAATTATTCAATACAAACCTGTAACATCTGAGGTTGTTGCTTTTCTCTTTTTATGGATGGTAGCATCCTTCGGGGCACCTGTTAGTGAAAATTTTGTTGTAATTAGCTTATTGGCATATTAAACATATTTATTGAATATCAATGAATTTAACGAAACAACTCAAATTATTCAATACAAACATGTATCATCTGAGGTTGTTGCTTTTCTCTTTTTGTGGATGGTAGCATCCTTCGGGGCACCTGTTAGTGAAAATTTTGTTGTAATTAGCTTATTGGCATATTAAACATACTTATTGAATATCAATGAATTTAACAAAACAACTCAAATTATTCAATACAAAACTGTAACATCTGAGGTTGATGTCTTCCTCCTTGTGCTCCTTCTACCTTGACGTGCGGCAGCGTGCTCATGCCAAGAAGGATCACGAGCGTTTTCCCTTTTAGGTGGCCGACCTTTTGCCTTCGTAGACACTCGTGGCTCCCTAAGGCCTTCCTCTTCGGGGTAAAGCTGACTCATTAATGCGACCTTGGCTGCTCGAACTGCAGATGGACCACGTCTACACACCTCAGCCACTAGATCATGAAAAATCTGAAGATCATTGGCGTCATTGTCTTCGAACCGTCTTGCATCATGAGGGTTAGCATAGTCCAAAGTAGACCAGAATGGTGCCAAGTGTGTTATCTGAAAATGGTCTCCCGCTCCTTTAAAGGAGTTGATTCGACAACTGCATGGGAGCCCATGTGTCCTCCCAATCACACAATCACATTCCGAAGGAGTCTTCTTTCCCTCTACAAACATCAACTCAAGCGCATATAGGCTTACACTTCCCCTTATAACGCCGTAGGGTGGTCCATAGGCTCCTTTGAATGTCTTTGTTCGACATGTCTCTAGCTCTTTCCTAATTTCGATCACTTGCCCCCCAATGCTAGCATGCCATGATAAAAATAATGTATCAACTCCCCCAGTCGAAGTGTTTAACCAAGCTTTAAGAGTCGAGTGAGCCGATTCAACCCTATTCGTACTTGTGTTACCAATATGAAAAATATTGTTAGTGTAAGCACAAGCCCACTTCTCTTTATGCTCAAAGCACTCACGATCCAAGTATTCTATCAACTTACTATTCCTCCCCCAAAATCCATTTTTGAAATTTTCCCATTCCTCAATCATGGCATGTGGCGTGGTGGCTTCCATCACCTTCTTCCAAGAACCATGTACCACTCCTCGAGCAACTTCTTGTGGTATCCCCAAATCCATCATCTTAGCTTCAATGTTCCGCTTTATGTGCCATATACACAACAAGTGGGCCGATTTCGTGAAGACCTGAGGGATAGCGGCAACCAATCCTCCCTCCTTGTCAGTTAGAATTGCATTCGGTATGCGATCTCCAAGCATGTTCTGTAACTCTCTCAAAAGCCAAACATAAGAATCTGTGGTTTCCCCCTCCATCATAGCAAATCCAATGTTGAAGTTCCTCTTGACGGGGGTAACACCAATAACCTCAACCAGGGGCCTCTTATATTTGTTCGTCTTGTATGTGGAATCAATCAAGATTACATGGTACCAAGCACTCAACATCCGAACGGACTCAGGGTGAGCAAGAAAAAGGTGAGTAAGGTGGCGATCATCATCACGCTTGTAGCCAATGTAGTACCCCATCTCTCTCGCATGGTGTAACGTCCAATCCGAAGGGGTCATGCCACTCAATCTCTCAATCCTTATATTTGCTGTCATGTTGTAAAATTGTCGTTTGTTATGGTGAGTACCATACTTTTGGTTGATAGTTTGCATCATTTTTCGAGGAGCAACACGAGCCCATTCCATCTCCTTCATATCCTTTAGCTCTTCATTAGTAAAAGCATTCCTCTGAGTGTGGCCTTCGGGATAAAGCTCTAATGCATGGTTGTGAAACCCACAAAATTGTCCCGGATTGTGATTGTCTTTCACACCATCAATCATCCAAGTCTTATCCTCCGGGAGTCCCACCAGTCTCACTCGAAAACGACAACCATCTTTAAGTGACTTTGTGTTGGATCGTCCTTTCTTATCCGGATCTGGGACATATGTATTGTTCTTATATCCACGATGGCAGTGAAGATATATTCGGGGGTACTTCTCGCCATCATTTGATTTGGTTGATGAATGTGTCAAAAAGAACCCAAGATCTTTTGCAATCACTTTTGCAGCTTCCATAGCTTCATTCCATGACTTATATCTTGTATTTGTTATGAAAAATTGAGTATAATCAACTTTGTCTCCCTTATCTTCCGGATCTCCCTAAAATAAATACATTTATCTTATTAGTGATACTAATTTTGAAATGTTTGTTGTAGATTAAATTATTCCAATTTGATATAGATTGAGTCTTACATAAGTTTCAACACTTTTCATGACTTGTAATGTTTGTTGTAAATTGAATTCTTACAATTTGAAAATGGATTGAGTCTTATATAAGTTTTAGAAAATTTGATGACTTGTTTGCAATATTAGATTTTATATTTATCTTCTTATTAAAAAATATTAAACATGTTATTAACAATTATTCAATATTCGAACATAAACTAATCCAATACATTTTCAACAAAAAATTAGCACATTTAGCATGATTAACTACCAAATCCTAATATTTCAATATGCAATAAAAAGTTTTTAACAAGTAGACACGTACTCATTAAATTATCAACAACACAACGTTGTTAACAATTATTCAATATTTGAACATTAACTAATCCAATACATTTTCAATAAAAAATTAGCACATTTAACATGATTAACTACCAAATCCCAATATTTCAACATGCAACAAGTAGACACGTACTAATTAAATTATCAACAAGATAGTAAAATCAATAATTCAACATTTTTCAAACAATATGTATCATTGTAAAGCAAATATTTAAGCATATTATCAATTACTAGACTTCATCATAACAATAAATAATTCAACATGATTCCAAAATTAAAAAGTTTAACTCACTAACCGTGTTACTCATTATCTGATGTAGTGATATCCGGAAGTCCGAACTTGACCAACTTCAAGAAATACATACAAGAAAAATATTTTCAGTAATACTAACATAGTTTCAAAATATAAAAAAATGAAATTCAAGAAATTCATTCTAAAAATAATATTATAGCAAATCCATCCTAAAAAATATGATAATTACAATATCATAAAATAATAAACTACAATAAAATCGCTAAATATTCTTCAAAGTCTAAATTATTGTTAGTAAACATTAACTTAGTTTCAAAATAATAAAAAATGAAGTTAAATAACTTCATTATACAAATAATATTATAAAAAATCCTACTAAAAATATGGTAATTACAATATTCATAAAATAATAAATTACAATAATAAAAACACTACATATTCTTAAAATATGGCAATTAAAAGTCTAAATTCAGGAAACATTAACTTAGTTTCGAAATATGAAAAATTAAAATTCAATAACTTCATTTTAAAAATAATATTAGAACAAATTATCCTAAACAATATGATAATTAAAAAATCTAAAATAATAACTGAAAATCTTTTTTTTTTTTGTCAAAAGATATCATATATTGATAAAAGATAGTTACATCCTGGAAACCAGCCAGGCCCTGAAATCAAACAAACGACTCATAGTCGGATACAAAGAGAGGGCTTTTCTAGCTACCGAATGAGCTACCCTATTGTTTTCCCGACCTATAAATCGCACACTAAACCCCGGGTGATCACACAAATACTGCCCAATTTCCTCCAGGATCGCCCCCAATCGGTTGTCTCTCATGTCACCCTGATTAATTTTATCAATAAGCACCTTGGCATCCCCCTCAAACCGGACCTCCGTGAAACCATACTCCAAACACCAGGTCAGTGCCTCTCGCAGCACCAGCAACTCTACCAGTGCAGGCTCATCCATACTAGGAAACTGCACCCCCTGTGCCAGAAGTATCTTCTCCTGAACGAGAAGAACCATCCCACCAGCCGAGTGCGATCCCCTCCTGGTTGCCCCATCCCATCTGCAAACCATACGTGAATCCTCCCCCGAAACCAACTGAACCCTTGGCCCTGCCACTGTAGGCGCCTGCTCCAGGGGCAGAGCCATCCATTCCTCAACCTGTTGATGGATCTGTCTCATTAGCGCGGGAATCCCAAACTGTTTGCCTTCAAAGACAACCCAGTTTCGTGACCGCCAGATCCGCCAAAGGACCGCAACTACCTTCATAACCACCGAAGGCTGATGAATTAAGGCCAACAGACGCTTGAGGAATAGAGGGAACGTATGACGAGGCAATCCCTCTCCCAGATAATCCAGCCCAGAATAGTCCCAAAGAGCTCTCGCAACCGGACAATAAAAAAACAGATGTTCCATTGTCTCAGGGCTCTCCCAGCAGACTGGACACCGGGGCAACACAGGAACCTTTAAATTAACAAAAAATTAAAAATAAAATAATAAATCGGCGACGTCCCGGCCGGACGTTCGTCCGTCGCCGGCGACGTCCCGGCCGGACGTTCGTCCGTCGTTGTCGGGTTATTTGCCGACGTACCTCGTCGGAGAAAGGAGCTGTCGTCGTCGGAGGTGGCGGCCACCTCCCGCCGGCGGGAGGTGGCGGTCGCCGGCGGGAGGTGGCGGTCGCCGGCGGCGAGTATTGTTGGATTGTGTTTGGAAAAGTGTTTGAATGTTTTGGTCTTGGAATGTGTGAAGTAAATGTATTTAAATGTTATGGGTATTATTGTACTTTTTATAATTTAGGACTACAAATAAAAATAATTTAAGGCTACAAATAGTACGTCCTTTTTCAAAATTATCGGGAGCGAGCACCCGCAAGCCGTCGGCTAGCTCCGCGCCTGGCCATGAGAATCGATATGATCATCTACTAGGCACGGGTAACGATGGTGTCCATGCAAACCTACACAATCAAATATGGGAAGGGAACACAATAACGCACAGACATTAGAGAGACAGAGAGAGCGCTTTCACGTTTGTCCACTAACTGCTACTCATTTTGGGAACATCTAGAGGAAAACCACTTTGTTCTCAGTTGTAAGATCAGTCGTTCTCCTCTCTCTCTCTCTCTCTGGGTTCAACTCGTTAATCATTCTCGTTGACGTTGTGCCCATAACAATAAAGTGGTCCGTTAATCAGTCCTAATCATCGCCTTAATTACTTGATTGAAAGATGTTAAACTTAATGATGAGGAAATTACGAACAAAACTGTATATGTCGCTAGGTTATACACAGTAGTGTGACGATATGGGTTTATTATGCACTACTTGATCTGTTGGGATTTTTAGTGGTGTGAATGGAAATAAAAGGGGAAAGTTTCAAGAGAGTCTCTTGAAGTACCATGTTGGTAAGATGTGAGAAGGCATGGCCTCGAATTCGATCGATTTGATGTAATATGTGGTTAGTTGGTTAAATTGGTTTGTGTAACCAAATGAACCAAACCGAGTTGAACCAAATCGAACCGAACCGATGTGGCGGTTGGAATAACCAAACCGGTCCAACTTCCATGAGGCCGAACCAATGCAATGGTTGAAATATTTTAAACGAACCAATGCAATGGTTGGGGTGTAACCACCCATATGAAGAGTTGCCTCCCTTCAATACATCCCTTCATTTTGTATAAATAGCACCATACCCCCTCTTGTTTTAACAACGAGTTTTACATGGATTTTTCCCGAT